CGAAAGCGCTTTGTCATCGAGCAAGAGCATTTGAGTCGAATCCGCTATAAGTAAAATTCAAGTAACAGGTTCATAAGCGTTGGTACCAGACTTAGACTAGGTATAAAGAGAGGACTCGTAACGTCGTAGGAAATCGTGTTCCATTCTGACACCAATGCCATTTGACCAGAGGCGTAACATGTTAGAAATAAAATAATAAACTTATTTATGTTATTAGTACTTTATTGATCTTTTTAGGTATAAAGCAAGATCAAAGCATAAAAATTAAAATAAATGGGGAACAATAAACAATAAAAAAGGCACAAGAAATAAATATATAAGAGAAGAAGGTTTAGTATGGTGAAAAAATATACAAGATAAATGGATTATTGGGCAGATACCGCAGAAAATAAAAAAAGGCCTAAAGGCAAACCGCAGACACGTGTTTCTGACTATTGGTCATCATCAGTACGGTGCAGCCAAGTTCAAAAGAGAATGGAACTAGAGAGGAAATCAAAACAACAGGAGATCACTCAAGGAGCCAACCAACCAGTTGTGGTCTCGACTAACACTCCCAGTGTTTACTAGGAAAATATTAGCGTCGCCACGGAGGTAGTTACAGCCCTCATGATGATGCATCCTAATGAAAAATATAAGAAAATATATAAAGTATAAATGATTTATTCATGTGTATTATTTACCTATTTTTTGTCGCTACTTGTACACTGATATGCAACACAATAAATCATTGTAACAAACTAGTTATCAAATGTCGAATTAAAAAATCACAAATAAACACGAGTAAAAAGATTTGGTACTGCTGAAATGCTAAGCACCAAAATAATGGCGGCCAATTTAAAATTGGCACAGACTACGAGGGCTTGTTATACTTGTTACGTGTCCTCTCTTGTTCCCAGTCAAAGGTACCGGGGCATGTGACGTCACATGCTAACTGCACAAAGCGAAGAAACTATCAACATGTAACCAAGAACATATCAATATGTTGCGAAAAAAATATCAATATGTAATGTTACTTAATTTTAGTCTTATAGTCACTATTTCTTAAATAATAAATAAAATCCCATTGACTAAGAAAAAAACTAACGCTTATTACCTGCGACAATTCCCTTCCCAAAATTATTAAGAATAAATAGTAAACTTAAATAAAGACCACATTTGGTTGGCTATGAGTAGAAATGAAAAAGTAATAAAAACTAAATAATACCTCCTTCCACAAGTCGGTTTTCTTGTACGTTCAGGGTAAAATCTCTGCAAATCTCATCCGATGTAGGAAAAGTCTTCAACCAGAGGCAAATAAACGAAACCTTGGGTTTCACTCTTAATTATGGTGCGGCTGAGAAACGTTGTAAAATCAAAAAACAATAAGTCACTAGTACCCTTTTATTCAACAAATGGTTTTCCAAAATGGACAAACTATTTGACTGTTTCCTTTCTTCTCGGCTACAGTAGCTAGACGAACGATGTCAAAAAAGTTTTATTAATCTCAAACTGGCGGTAGACGAAACGACCATCTTTATTTCATCTAAATCAAAGTACGTCGTTGAACACCAATCAAATCCAACAAAACAGTGTCGTCCACCAAAATAGATTTTAAGGTATAATCTCTACATACATATAAGACAACTATTTTAAACAACTGGTTAAAAAATTGTTTTGTCATTTCTTAATAGATGGAACCAAACATCTGTTTCTTAAATATTTAGACGTAGAAATTAAAAATTTAACTTTTTAATGTAATGCGAACATTTGAATAACATTTAACCCATTTAAATCCATCTATCCATAACGAATAAACGTTCTGATCGAACCCATCAGCTTAAGTGCGCCACGTGTATCTCAAGTAGCGCATTAATTTTATCACGTGATTACATCGAGTGCAATTTGATGCGTACGAAGAGATGCGGCTGGTGCCACGTGGCCGAAACGTGCGCGCCAACACGCAACCCTATTCCGGGTAGACGTGCATCGGCTGACAGAGTGACGGTTAACGTTCCCTCAGGTGAAGTTTGAGGCGTTTTTTTTGGGTTTATTCAATTTATAAAACAACAAAAAGCGTGGGAGGACTCTTCCCACAACAAGCAAATTGTTTGCGATGTAAATTTAATTACGATTTGGTTGCATGAAGGATTAAAAAACGAAACAATTACTGTAGAATATTACCAGACCACTTCTAGGTTCATTTAAATTCTCTTCTATTAAATAACGTTTATTTCTCGATGAAAATAACTGAAAGTATTCAGAGTGACAAAGCTTGTCACCTAAGAAAACTGACAGTTGAAGTTGATCAGTGTACCAACTTAAGAATACAAAGTATGACTAATACCTCCGAGCAATTACTTGTTAAACTTTCTTCTTAGGAAGCTGTAACCTTATGGAGAATAAAAATTTAATATTAGATCAAAAGCTCTTAATTGAGAATTATATTTACCAAGGCCGTTTTAATAATATTTTCAAAAGTTCTTGGAATCGTTGTTAACAGAAACCTGCAAAAAAATATATCATTTTATTCCTAAAATATAAGATATCACACAATGCACACAATGCATATCATTGTGCTAGAAAAATCCTAGGTAGGTACTGAGATACTTTAAAAAAAGTATTTCGAGAAACTCAACTTTTAATGTCATCATTGTACTTAACTTTTTTATTGCTTAATTGTTAATAATTTCATTTTGTGTAGTTCGTTGTGATTTGTATAATATATATTATAAAAACCTATCGTCAATGTAAATGTGCCAAGTTTTTTTAATAATTATGTCCTTGTTATAGTAAAAACACATTTAAACACATTTTTAAAGTTTTCTGGATTTTGGCTTTAAATTATCGTACAATTGAACTGACTAATTGTGTGTTTAAGTAAAGGTATAATTCTTTTTTGTTATAACAGTCTTTGTATATTGTTCTAACTTTTTAGATAATCAGAGAAAACAGTAGGATATCTTAATATATCCTATTTCACCAACAAAAATGTAGAATAATTAATCTCACATCAAACGAAAAAAGTCATTTTAGGATGTCCTAATAGGTTTCAACTTAAAAACTAAATAAAATGTATATTGCAACTGTGTTTAAATAAATGAATGTTTTTATACCTGACTATAGCACCAGACAAACATTTTTTTAGATCATAATGATCTGCATAACTCAAAATAGTCCAAATCCACATTATTTAAGTTGTTCTAGTATTGTTTTAGCATAACGATGTAAACTCCAATATTCACATTTTTTGGGACGTTTTTAAGGAAATTAAAAAAAACATGAATAATGTGATATTCTTGTTTAGTTTTGTACTATATAATATAGTTCATTAGGTAGTGATTTAGAAGCAAATTATGTTCTATTTATAGAATAAAAAATCACTCATAATATCTAAATATTTATACCTATTTATATTTTGGACAGGAAGACTATTTTATGTTTTTGGCTCTGAATAGTTTTCTTAAGAATTTTAAAACCTTCCTTAGCTCTTTTGGGATATTCCATGCATATCTTAGAAGTTCATTTTGTTTAAACCTAAAACAAATTAAGTACAAAAAATGAAAATTTAAACAATACACAAAATTAGTCTTTTAGATTAGTTAAAAAAAAAGTGTCAACAAAAAAATGGCTATTCCTTTTTCCTTAAACATTATTTTTAAAAGAAACTTAAGTTTCTCTACTTACTTGCTGTTTTAGTATTTTAGTAGCAGATGAATATAGTGTAGAAGTAGTGACAGGATTGATTATTATACGTCTTTCGTCGAAATTGCATTTTTCTTTAATATTTTCCTCCCCTGAGGTCTGTAATAAAAATTTTCATTTAGCATAAAAAGTTATTCAGGTGGTCACTTGTTGAATTCCTATATTTTGGAACCATGTATTTCTTTCTCATATAAAGAAAAGGAAACCTAAAAAAATAACAATAAACTTTACAAAGATGTGATCTTAAAATAATAATAATTAATTAACCTTTACTATAATCATTATGAGACGGATGAAGACGAACTTAGCTGGAGTTTACTTGCTCTTAATTTTAATTTTTCGATAAGAAAATAAGAAAGTTTAATTGCAAATTAAAGGTGATTGCCTAATGCACCGCCTCTGATAATTAGGTTGTGTCTGTACTTACTTATGATATTATCTTGAAGAAGCATTTTCAACAGGCCTTTTACACATAAAGCATATTTTCATTATATTATTAGAGATAATAAATCTTAAATATACATTTACAACCCTTACAATGTTATAAATAATAATATTTTCCGTAAAATACAAATAAGAAATTGACGTGTGTCAGAAAGTGTCAGAACTGGCGCTGTCAAACTTGGCAACGCTGATTAAATAAGCCAATTACAGAAGAGGTATTTTCCCCCTCGGGGGGTGTAGATGTTGCTAACAAAATTTAGCGCGTGGAAGGGGGAAAGACTCTATCTAGTAGTAATTGCTCGGAGACTAATACATTGTAGTAGAACTGTTTGGAGTAGAATTGCACTAGTTCAACAGGTACCTATGTGATTTCTAACTTGAATCCCCCGTTCATTTTGTATTATTTTCGTAGCTGACATTTAAAATATCAAAGAATTGTACTATCAACTAAATTCTTTTGGACAAAGCTGTAGAAATGATTTAAAAGTTTCGAATAAATATCAACAAGAGATAAAAAATTTATTTAGCCACAGCAATGATGTAATTTTGGTTGGCTTAGAAAAGTAAACTGGGATCATTCATCGGTTAATCCTTTCCCTATTTAGTAAGTGCATTTTGAAAGTGCCTATGTCGGCCCAAAGTAGCGCAGGTACTAAGCGGTATTAATTCACTAAAAGGGAAGAGTTAAGAATTTCCAAAAATACCTATTAATAATAACATTTTCCCTATAGTTCATGTCTTTACGAGCAAATTTTAATTCCAAACGCTGACTGGGCTTGTGTTGGGAAGAAATGGGCTCTTCAAGGGCGGCTCCAGGAAGGGGGTCATGAAATAATATTTTAAAAATACACACAGAAACAGAATAAAAGGTATAATTATTCATTTATATGTATTTCACGTTTTATAAAATGTTCTTTATCATTTAATATCTGTTTTAATTTTTCTGACCGCGCCATATCAGTACATTCAATAAATTCATCGAGTATCTGTTTGCATTTTATTATACTTATCCCCGTATTCTCGTTCTCTTTCAAGCAATCGATAATCATTCGCGAATGACAATCCATTTTTTCTTTACCACCGATATCTTCTTCGACTTTATTAAACATCTTGTTTATACCATCCGTCGTTAGATTGTTTTCTATCGAATGTTGATGGTCTAATTTGATCAATCGTTTCCTCCAAGTCTCTTCTGACAGTTCCATTTGTGAAATTGTGGGTTTTTCTAATTTTTTAGGTCGTTGTTGTTCTTGTTGTTGAGGTTGTTGTTTTTCCGTTGTTATCCATTTTACACACGGTTCGGATAAATTGATAAGGCTTTCATTTGGCGTTTTAGAAGCATCGCAAACAACTGAGTTTCCCATTTTATTACAGAAATTATTATGGAAAATCTGACAAAAATTTAAGTTTGACATTACAAGTTTTTTATAACGTCCTGTCGAAATGCTCTTGATGAATATGACAGGGTGTTTTGTGATTTTGACAGAAAAACGTTCATTTACTAATCTAAGTTATTTTTTTACATAATTAGTTTAAAAAACGGTAATTTTCTACTTTGAGGATGCATTTTGTAAAAAAAACCCGGAGTAGTATATGATTTTTCTAATAGTTTTATCCTAAGAGCGCAGGGGCACTCTAACCACAGGGCTAAATGGCATATAGCCCAGGGGCGAAAGCCTTTTTGGAGCGACAATTTTTATTGGTTTTATATTTTTTTTTTTGTATTATTAGTTAATTTAAATTATATATATACATATAAAAGGATTATTGGGCAAATACCGCAGAAAAATGAAAAAAAGGCCTAAAGGAAAACTGTAGACACATGTTTCTGACTATTGGTCTTCATCAGTACGGTGCAGCCAAGTTCAAAAGAGAATGGAACTAGCGATGAAATGAAATCAAATCAACAGGAGATCACTCAAGGAGCCAACCACACATTTGTGGACTCGGCCAACATTCTCAGTGCTTACTAGGAAAATATTAACGTCGCCACGGAGGCATTTATAGCCGCTATGGAGATGCATCTTAAAAATAATCTATTCTTTTCAATTAATCGATTATTTTCGTTTAATCGATTATTTTGGAATAATAACTTTGCCGGTATATTTTTTAATGAAAAAGGACGCACTATTTTTAATAGATTACGGGCACCAAATATCTCAGGATAGCTCTGTTAATGCAAGTTGTATTAACTGGGTTTAAACTTAGTTCAGTGCTGAACTTGGTGCTAGATGAGAAATCCAATGACAAAAATTGACATTTCTGCAATAGTAAAAGTTACTAAAATGAAATACCTACTTAATGTCATACGGAAAAAAATTTACATTTTTTAAAAATAATCGAATAGAAGACAATAATAAAATTATTCGATTCTATACATTAATTTATGGAAAAAATATGGTAGGTATATTAAATACAAAAACTGAATTTATTTTCTATTAAATGTACACAAATGAATTCTCCTTACTTACTTTCTAATAATTTTCCACTTATTTCCGAGTGAAATAAAAACGTTTTTCTATCCAAAACCCTATATTATTAAATGCCGATCGAACTTGGACATCTAGGTACATGTAAGAAGTTCGTCTACTTTATTATTATGCAAAGCTCTCATTGATATATGCAAGGTAGTAATTAGTTTGGAATATTTAGTATTTGGTATAAAAATAGCGGTATCGACAGACTTGAAATTTTCATTAATTCATGGCAATTTGAGGGAATATGAAATTTTAAATTGCAAAATTGTTTTCTACATTACCGCAATAACGGAAAATAAGAAAATACATTTTCTTTTATTCAAACGTGTAAATATATTTGAAATTATTTCCTTTTATATTAGACACCTACCTAAATAAGAAACTCAAATAGTAGTTCCTGCAACAAGAGTGGATATGATGGCGTCGTGCTCAAACTTCGTCTTCCTGAGATACGGACAATTCACTCAAGTTGTACAGTATATTTTTTCTACGACCTACTAACTAAAATCTATAAATTTATAAAATTATTTTGGGCGATTAAGATAAAATAAACTTTAAAAAAGATTTAATTTAATTAGTCTCCCAGTCCTAGATTTGAACCCCAGATCTTTCGCATGACAGCCAAATGCTCTAGTTTCCGCTCCTTCGACACACCTAACATTTTAGTTTTAATACTCGTAATTAAATTGATTTCCTATAGTTTTTTTTTTTAATTTATGATTGGTTGTATAAAATAGTAGTTTGTGCAACAAGAATGGATATAATGGCCATATCGCACGAAGACGAAGTCTTAATGCGATACAGACAATCCACTTGAGTAGAGTATATTTTTTCTACAACCTACTAACGAAAATCTACAAATAATAAAAAACTATAACATAACTTTATTGCTAAAGTTAGCGGTTTTTATGAAGTGAGGGTAGATAAGTTTTTGTAAAAAATATTTCTAAAGTAGGCCTTGGAAAAATTAATGCATGTCTGTTTTTATGATTCTTATTTTTAAGTGTCAGTGTAACGTGCATTTTTGTTAAAATATACGGAAAAAAAGGTAAACCGTAATTCATTTTTGATTAGCTTTTACAGCCATTTTTTTTTGTCTTAAACTATTATAATTTAATTAATCGTATCACTGGACAGAGGTATCGTATTTTGTTCATAATATCTGAGTTTTTGTAGTTTTTACCCAACTGGTTGGTTTCAATGTGTTAGATTCTCCTAAAAATAGTCTCGTTGCGAATTTACTTATATATTACGTATTATAACCTTACCTTTAAGTACTTAATTATTTACGAGGCCAATTTCACAGAAATTGTTTTCTTTTTAATCAGAGTAATTATTTTAATTCAATGTTATTGTTTTAATTTTGACAGTACGAATTTCAGTACGAGTTGTTAGGTTAAATGTCAGTCAACGACGGGGCACGATAATTGACAGAGTCATGTGTTTTGTGTCGTTCAGTCTGGTTCCGAGTTCCAGGTAATGGTATTTTATAAATTTTTATAAATGAAGTTATATTGTATATAGATATAGTTTGTAGGGTAATTTTTCGTAAATAGTCTCTAAGATATATAGTTTGATAAATCCTCAAGGATTAATTTCTGAACCCACTCGGCTTGTCATTTTTCAAAGCGGAAGGGGTAGTATGAGAGCCCACTGCAAATTTCGACCGTCATCTGATAACGAAATGAAATATGCCACAAAGGCATGTAACAACTTTGTACTTTACCAAATTACACCTGTGCCAATCCCTATCCTGAGCAAAGTGGTTAAAAAAAATTATTTTATATTCAAAAAATCACATAAGACATGACAGCGACAATTGTGTTTTCCCTGAAAATTACAATCCTAATTCATTGTGAACCTAGCTTTTAAACCTGAATTACTAATATTTTTACCTACCTTTTAAACCATGTTTATGTATGAAAGGAAGAAGGATGGCATTATATAAACCATTTGCAGAGATAGTCAATAATAATTATAAACTCTTGTTAGACAATTATTTTAAACCATAATCATAGTAGCTTTTTTGTCGTTTCTATGGCAACCTGTAAAAATGAATCACAACAATAGGTATACAAATAAATTTTTAAATTAGCAAACATTGATTCATATTTTTAATGATTTTTATCTACTAATCGTGGATAGATGTTTTTGTGCAATGTTAAGAGGAAGAAAATGTTTCCCTTTAACGATATATATCAAGATATACAGGTTGTTATTGAAATACACGTACATATTAAAACTGGGTATTGCGCAGATCCCCACTGAATGTAGAAAAATATTATTTTTTAAAAATACCCCTTATTAAGGGAGTTATTAATTTTTGAAAATTAATTCTAAAACAAACGTACTTCACTGATATGTTGAGGATGACCTATATAAATTAGGTTTATTTACCTATTTTAAACATCAACAGTAATTAATATGCAAGTTTTTGTCAGATGATAAGAAAACTAGTCTTGTAAGAAATAACCATGTTGCCAAGATTTTCGAATTAATTTCTATTTCCGAAGACTGGTTTTTACTACCCTCGTTATCAAAAAACTAGAATATTTGATAAATGATTGTTTTTAAACTATACATTTTTGAAACTATAGATTATTAAAATTTTAGTTGATTTACGAATCTGGCTAACACGAGCGCGTCATTTCCAAGTTGGTAAAAAGTGTTGTTACGATTACTTTTAAATATTTTTTTACGATGCCACTATTTACGAATATTGAACTAACGGATATAGTGCTGGTTTATGGGGCAGCTGGAGAAAATTCTCGGCAAGCACAAATCCTTTATCGCGAACGGTTTCCAAATCGGAGAATTCCGGACTGTCGTACGTTTATTTCAACTGTTCAGCATCTAAGAGACCATGGAAAATTTGAGAGTGTCAATGCAGATCGAGGGAGAACAAGAACACAAAGAACATTGGCGGCCGAAGAAGAAATATTGGAAGCTGTTGAAAACAGGCCTCAATTAAGTTGTAGAAGACTAGGTCTTGAAATTGGAGTGTCCTCATTTGTTGTGTGGCGGACACTTAAAGAACAAGGTTTACATCCTTATCACATCCAAAAAGTCCAGGCCTTATATCCAGGTGATGAAGAAAAGAGAGTGGAGTTTTGTGAATGGATGATTCAAAAATGTGTTGATATTCCTGATTTTCTAAAAATATTATTGTATACTGACGAGGCTTCATTCACTCGTGATGGCGTGTTCAATATGCACAATACGCATATTTGGAGTGATGAAAATCCTCACGCCATTAGGGAAACTGGGCATCAAAGAAAATTTTCAATAAAAGTTTGGGCTGGCATAATAGATCAGTATTTAATCGGGCCTTATATTCTCCCAAACAGATTAAATGGGCCAGGATATCTCCACTTTTTAGAAGATATTTTGCCAGTACTCCTAGAAGAGATACCGTTACAATTAAGGCAACGGATGTGGTACCTACTAGATGGCGCTCCTCCTCACTTTGATTTAAACGTACGGCAGTTTTTGAACATTATATTTCCTCAAAAGTGGATAGGCAGAAATGGACCTTTTAAGTGGCCTCCGAGATCTCCGGGCTTAAATCCATGCGATTTCTTTTTGTGGGGTCACATGAAACAACTGGTTTATAATGAACCTATTAATAGTGTTGAACAATTAACCAATAAAGTTAATGCGGTAGCTGAGGAACTACGACAAAATCTAGACTAATTTCTAATGTTCAAAGTTCTTTGGAAAGACGATTGCAAGTATGTGTAAATAATAATGGACGGCATTTTGAACAATTACTGTAATAAACTTTATTTTGAATTAATTGGTTTTGCTACGGCAACAGTGCAATTTCTATGGGTAAGTTCAATTTCGATTTATTTTACTTCTTTAAATATGGAAACTAGTAGGTCGGAAAAGGGGACTCTTCCCCAATATTTAAATTTTAGAATTTGAAGTTAAAATTG